TGAAGCATTTCTATATTTTAAGCTCTTTACTCAAATGACATTGCGGGGTTTCCTGTCTGTCTGCGTGTCTGTCTTGGCATTCATTTCACATTCATCACCACAGCATTTGAGCAGGTATAAATGACAGCGAGAGAAATCTTTTTGGTTCCCAAAGCCAAAAGGATCCTTTTTCCGATGTCAGAGCGAGCTCCTCATGGGACTTGAATTTTTTCGGCAGCAGTTTGCAAAAGATAGGAGCCGACAATTGAATGTAAGAAGCACAAGGAAGAATAAGACCCCAGCTTGCTCCCCTCTAGGTCTATGCCTGTACAGCACCGACAGAGCTAAAAATGGCAGCCTACAGACTCAAACGTGGGTACCTAAAATTAGGTCCTCTAGCCCATTAATAGGTGGCCTGATTTCCAAAAAAAAAGGAAACTCCTCTACAGTTTGAAGTTCTCTAGTCCGGCACCCTCGGGACCTGACTGGTGCCGAACCGGAGAATTTAGAATCATAAAATCCTAGAATCCTAGAGCTGGAAGAGACCTCAGGAGTCATCAAGTCCAGCCCCCTGCCCAAGGCAGGACCAACCCAACTCAATCATCCCAGCCGGGGCTTTGTCAAGCTGCAACTTAAAAACCTCTAGGGATGGAGATTCCACCCCCTCCCTAGGGAACCCATCCCAGTGCTTCGCCACCCGCCTAGGGAAAAAGTTTTCCTAATATCCAACTTAGAGCTCCCCTGATGCAACTTGAGCCCATTGCTCCTTGTTCTGCCATCGGTCACTACTGAGAACAGCCTCTCTCCATCCTCTTTGGAGCCTCCCTTCAAGAAGTTGAAGGCTGCTATCAAATCCCCCCCCCTCACTCTTCTCTTCTGCAGACTAAACAGACCCAAATCCCAGTCTCTTCTCGTAGGTCATATGCTCCATTCCCTTAATCATTTTTGGTCGCCCTCCTCTGGACCCTCTCCAATGCGTCCACATCCTTTCTGTAGTGGGGGGGCCCAGAACTGGACACAATACTCCAGATGTGGCCTCACCAGAGCTGAATAAAGGGGAATAATCACTTCTCTAGATCTGCTGGCGATGCGCCTCCTAATTTGCCAGACTACGGGAGGTCAATATTGTTTAGGAGCATGGCCAACACTTCCACTGCTGACTGGGCTCTTGAAGACATTTGGGGCAAATCACAACAAACTAACAGCACACAACACTGACCATGGGAAACTTGGCCACACCTATGATAAGTGAACACCTGGCTCACTAAAATGATGCTGGACCATGGATATTGCTGGACCAGAGCGTGCTGAACTAGGGAAGTTCAACCTGTACTAGTTGAACATCCTTTTTGGATGACATCTATATTTTAAGGGCCATATTCTCATATCACACTGCACCGTGTGGCCAGCTGTCAAGAGTCTATCGCACGTCTCACTATTTTTGACATTTTTCTTAAATCCCCAGCTCATGGAGTCATGGGATCACATGAGAATTTCAGCTTCCTTTTTTAAGGACATTTTTAGCTCTTCCGGTTTTGGAGAGTATCTTGAAAACATGCCTGTAAAAAAACCAAAAGGGAAATAAATCAAATGTAAGCCAGTTTCCTGGTTTGGGGGGGGGGGGGGCCTGATGCAAAATGATTGAATGCCTGGATTTGGCAAAACGTAAAAAACAACGAATAGTCTAGCAGCACCTTAAAGACTAACAAAACATGTAGACGGTATCATGAGCTTTCGTGGGTATAACCCACTTCTTCAGATGAATGAAGTATTAAAAGTCCAGTTCCAAAAATAAATAGGGGATGGAGTGTGGGGGGAGGGAGAAGGAAGGGAGACAAAAATAGTGAAATAGAGTGTTCAAGTTCCAAGAAGCTGATAGAGAAGAAGCAAATTGTTCTTAAGTACCTACACTCCAAGGGTGTGTCTAGACTACAGGGTTTTGTCGACAAAAGTGGACTTTTGTCGACAAAACTATACCTGCGTCCACACTACCGCTGAGTTCTGTCGACATAACGTCAACAGAACTCAGCAGTTTTGTCGACGCTGGTAAACCTCATTTTACGAGGCATAACGCCTTCTGTCGACAGAGTTTCTGTCGACAGCAGGTGTTATTGCCTGTAAACTGTCCTTTGTGTCCACACTACCATGTCGACAAAGCAGCTTGCTTTGTCGACAGAACTCAATGTAGTGTAGACGCTCTTTGTCGACAGTATCTGTCAACAAAACTTCTGTCGACAGAAGCCTGTCGTCTAGACGTACCCCAAGGGTCTTCAGTGCATTTCCTCTAGAAAAACTGTGAACAGAATTTGTGTTAGTTTTTAAAAGCTTGTACTTATATTTGCAGCTACCTAGCCTCATATATATTTGAGCCAGCTAGCTGGCAATGGTATGATATCATGAGCTAAATTCTGCTCTCCCTGGCATCCATATAGTAAGTATGCTTGCCCATGTGTGGAAAATTTGGCCCTGTGACTTGCCAGCCCTTGGTTCTGTATGACCCAGTCCAAACTGTGCTGTGTGCTTCTGTTGCAGGTACCTTTTAAGCCTGGGCAATGATGCAGGCGCCGGCCAATTACCTGCCCACCTCCAGCCCCTACAACTACGAGCAGGCCCTTCCTTCCGTGACTCGGATAAATTCGATCCCCCAGGTTCCTCCGACCAAGAAAATAACCTTCTTCAAGAGCGGAGACCCTCAGTTTGGGGGAGTCAAGATGGCCATCAACCCACGCAGCTTCAAGAGCTTCAATGCCCTCATGGATGACCTCTCCCACAGGGTCCCTCTGCCCTTCGGGGTGCGGACCATCACCACTCCACGGGGGGTCCACTGCATCAGCGCCCTGGACCAGCTGGAGGATGGCGGGTGCTACCTCTGCTCTGACAAGAAATACACCAAGCCCTTTAGCATCGGCATGGGCCGGCGGGGAGGCCCTCAGTGGAATGGCCGCCCGGTGAGTGCCCTGAGGAGAGGAGGCCCGGAAGGCAGGCACGAAGACCAGTCCATGCCTTTTTCCCAGCAAGCCCCCAAAATACCCAAGAAAATCACTTTGGTTAAGAACGGGGACGTTGGCGTCCGGCGCTCGATTATCCTGAATCGCAGGAACGCTCGGAGCTTCAAAACTCTCCTGGATGAGATTTCCGAGCTCTTGCAGTTCACGGTGAAGAAGCTCTACACGGTGGATGGGAAGAAGGTGAGTCTCTGATACGTGGCGCCTGTGGGTTTATTCCGGAGAAGCACTAATGCCTCAGTCCCCTTCTTGCTCTGTCAGCCAACTCCTCTGGCCTGGGAGAAGGCTCAGAACACTACAAAGCAAGTTCTGTTGCCTGGGAGATGGTTGGCATCCCCCGTTGGGTTGTGGAGCTCAATTGGCCTCCATGTAGAAGGGGTTTTGTGGGGTGAGGTTGAGGTGTGCCTGGAGGGATGTGGCCTGTTTGTACTTCCCATGAAACACTTGGCATGGGGGAGCGATTCTAGTCAGACTCAGAGCAGCTCACCTGGCTAAACCCCATTTATCTGGGCTTTGCCCTGAAGAAAGGAGGCATTACCAGGAGTGTTGTGAGCAAGACACGAGAAGTCATTCTTCCGCTCTACTCTGCACTGATTAGACCTTAATTGGAGCATTGTGTCCTGCTCTGAGCCCCACATTTCAAGAAAGATGTGGAGAAATTGGAGAGGGTCCAGAGAAGAGCAACAAGAATGATGAAGGGTCTAGAAAACATGAGCTGACAGAATTGGGTTTGTTTAGTTTGGAAAAGAGAAGACCGAGAAGGGACATGACAGCAGTTTTCAAGTACCTAAAATGTGGCTACAAGGAGGAGGGAGAAAAATAGTTCTCCTTGGCCTCTGAGGACAGGACTAGAAGCAATGGGCTTAAACTGCAGCAAGGGAGGTTTAGGTTGGACATTAGGAAAAACTTCCCGCCTGTCAGGGTGGTGAAACACTGGAATAAGGTGCCTAGGGAGATTGTGGAATCTCCATCCCTGGAGATATTTAAGAGCAGGTTAGACAGACGCCTGTCAGGGATGATCTAGACAGTGCTGGGTCCTGCCATGAGGGCAGGGGTCTGGACTCGATGACCTCTCGAGGTCTCTTCCAGTTCTAGTGTTCTGTGATTCTGTGGTCTGGGAACAGCCACACTAGGCAATCTCTGAATGCAGAACCCAGGGGCACTTCCGTGTGTGTCTGGGCCAAATGAATCCCTCCCTGAAACCAAGGTCCTGAGAGCTTCAAGTTCCCTTTCCCAGGAATGACTCGTGCAACGTGTTGCACTGCCCACGTGAGCCAATATTCTTGCACTTGATGAACAGGCTGGTGCCCAGGTGAATGCTGGTGAGACATGGGTGCTGGGTATGAGGGTTTCCTGCTGTGGAAGATTATTGACTTGGAATCACATGCGACACTTATTTCAATTATAGTCGGTAAGGGCTTAGATGTACCAGATGGGCACAGTGCTGGAGAAGAGGAGGGGTGGAGCTGCAGAACCCCAGGGGGGAACCCCCAGAAGTGCTGTGACCCAGAAAGGCCTAGTGGTCCTCATAAGAACATAATGGCCAGACGGGGTCAGGCCAAAGGTCCATCTAGCCCAGTGTCCTGTCTGCCCGCAGTGTCCAACGCCAGATGCCCCAGAGGGAGGGAACACAACAGAGAATCATCACATGATCCCTCTCCTGTCATCCATTTACAAACAGAGGCTAAGGACACCATTTCTTACCCATTGATGGACCTAACCTCCATGAATCTATCTAGCTCTTTTTTGAACCCTGTTAAAGTCCTAGTCTTTACTACATCCTCTGGCAAGGAGTTCCACAGGTTGATTTTGTGCTGCATGAAGAAAAACTGCCTTTTGTTTGTTTTAAATCTGCTATCTATCCATTTAATTTGGTGACCCCTAGTTCTTATATTATGGGAACAAGTAAAAAACTTTTCCTTATTCACTTTTTCCACACCAGACATGATTTTATAGACCTCTTTCACATCTCCCCCCTTAGTCTCCTCTTTTCTAAGATGAAAAGTCCAAGTCTTTGTAATCTCTCTTCATATGGGACCCGTTCCAAACCCCTAAGCATTTTTGTTGCCCTTCTCTGAACCTTTTCCTGTGCCAATGTATCTTTGATGAGATGAAGCAACCACATCTGTGCACAGTATTCAAGCTGTGGGCGTACCATGGATTTACACAGAGGCAATAAAATATTCTCTGTCTTATTCTCTATCCCTTTTTTAATTATTCCTAATGTTCTGTTTGCTTTCTTGACTGCTGCTGTACACTGAGGCTCTGTTTAGATTACATCCCTCATTCGACAGAGGGATGTAAATTAGGCATTTCAAAATTGCAAATGAAGCTGGGATTTGAATTTCTCGTGCTTCATTTGCACAATCATGTAATGGCACTCTTTCGAAAAAGTGTTATTTTGAAAGTAAAACCAAGTTCAAGATGCGGTTCATTTGAAAAGGGAAGGCTTTTTCGAAAGATCCTGTATACCTCAAAAACTGAGGAAAGGCTTTTCCGAAAGATCCTGTAAACCTCAAAAAAGGATCTTTTGAGAAAGCCTTTCCTTTTTGAAAGAACCGCATCTAGACAGTGGTTTTACTTTCGAAATACCGCTTTTTTTGAAAGAGCCATTACGTGATTATGCAAATGAAGTACGGGAAATTCAAATCCCGGCTTCATTTGCAATTTCGAAGTGCCTCATTTACATCCCTCTGTCGAAAGAGGGATGTAATCTAGACATATCCTGAGTGGATATTTTCAGAGAACTATCCACAATGACTCAACAATCTCTCTCTTGAGCAGTTGTAGCTAAATTAGTCCCCATCATATTGTATGTGTAGTTGAGATTATTTTTCTCCAAGCTCCTCATGGGAGCAGCTTCCTGGCACCATCTATTCCGAGCGGGTAGCATGCTTCTTGCCATGTGTACGGCCGGCTCTGCTGGCCAGTGCAGAGTCCAGGCAGGTCCGTGTCCTGGGAATGTGCCAGGCCTATCACGGTGCCTGGCTACTATATTAGGAAAGCTTCTTGTATCTTCCTATCCCTGTGTGTCCTCACAGTACCCTGGCCTTCAGCTTGTCCCATGGAAGTGATTAGGAGGAGATGGGCTTTGGATAATGTGGTGGGGGGAGTGACAGAAAAACTTTAAGACAGAGATCAGAGGAGGGATTTGTGCCCTGAAGTTCCTCTTATTTTCTCCCCTCTTCCTGATTTTTGCCTTGGCTTCCCCTCCCTCTTTGTAAGGCCCCACATGCCGGTCACCAGTCACTCACCAACTTCCCTTCGAGTTCACGGGTGCAGATCCCTTGTGCCGGCCGGCCAAGCTGCTGCTGTGGCGTATGGAGGATGTATCCACGCAGGAGGCAAACGTCCTGGTGATGCAGACCCCCAGCCCTGCTGATCCAGGGAGTCCGAGCACAGCAGGCTGAAAGCCAAGCCTAGGTCTCCAGAAGTCTAGCACATTGGCAATCTGCCCTCAGGCAACCCAAGGAATGTTTCAGGTGCCCGTCGGTGTACACGTGAAAAGTGCGAGTGCAATAGTGCTGAGAACTTGACAGCATCACAGAAACAAGGTCATCCAGGAGTTGTGGGCGGAATCCTCTTAGAATCATAGAATAATAGGACTGGAAGGGACCTCGAGAGGTCATCGAGTCCAGCCCCCCGCCCTCAAGGCAGGACCAAGCTCCGTCTACACCATCCCTGACAGATGTCTATCTAACCTGTTCTTAAATATCTCCAGAGAGGAAGATTCCACCACCTCCCTTGGCAATTTATTCCAATATTTGACCACCTCTTCTGTTGGGGAATCCATGAGCCAGGGTGGGAGCCTAGCCGCATGGCATATGAGCAGTGATGAGGACGGTGCGCTTAGAAACCACCCCACTCCTCCTGGTTCCTGGTTCATGACAAACTCAAAGCAGCCGCTCTGATGGAAACCTCCCCGAGGTTCACGAAGCAGCCTGGGCCAGTCTGTGTGTTAGGGTCACCACGGGTGCTACGTTGCCACTGGCTTTTGCGTGGAGGAACCTCGAAATGCAGCTGGATGGGGAGGGATGAGAACTGTAAGGGTGTGTCTAGACTACAGGGTTTTATTGACAAAAGTGGACTTTTGTTGGCAAAACTATACCTGCGTCTACACTACCGCCGCCGACAGAACTCGGCAGTTTTGTCGACAGTGGTCAACCTCATTCTACGAGGAATAACGCCTTTTGTCGACAGAATTCTGTCAACAAAAGGCGTTATTGCGTCTACACTGTCTTTTGCGTCTACACTCTCATGTGGACAAAGCAGCTTGCTTTGTCGACAGAACTGGATGCAGTCTAGACACTCTTTGTCGACAGAAGCTTTGTCGACAGTATCTGTCGACAAAGCCTCTGTCAACAAAAGCCTGTAGTCTAGATGTACCCTAAGAGAAGAGGTTTCCACAGCTCCCTGTCGCTACAGCGGTCGAATTTCAGGTAGTTCCAGCTGCTGTAGTGGGATAAGCTAAAAACAGAGTGCACCCTCACCCTCCGCACACTGTTCCTAGGGCTTCACTCAATTGATAATCGGCTCAAGATACTAGATCGTTACAGCCAAATTTGGCCCAGAAGTTTGCACTGAATCTTCTCTGTCTTTCGCCCTCTGATTCCGGTCTATTTTGTGGGTATGACAAAGACCAGAAAGGTTGGAAGAGTGATCAGTGCCCACAGAAATCTGGACTGTATATTATCAGCAGATGGCTGCAGGTTATTCCCATGGGCTACGTTTACACTGCACCGTAGTTTGAAATAAGATACACAAATGGAGTTATGCAAATTGCGTATCTTATTTCGATCTTATTTCGAAATAAGCCGCTATTCTGAAACGTCCCTTATGCCTTCTCGAATGAGGTTTACAGGGACATCGAAATGGCGAGCCCGAAATAACAGGCTTGCTGTGACGACACGGGATAGCTATTTCAGGATGCTCCAGTATCCTGAAATAATGTAGCAGTGTAGACATAGCTAGGGGTTGCAATAAGCATAGCACATGCCTATCTGAAGGCAGAATCTGGCTCCTTTTGGGAACAGGTGGCCAAGTGCCAATAGGGTTTTATGTTATTTTAGTTGCTGTTCTATAGTGGGTATCCATTCTGACATGAGGAAACCCTCTGGCAACTCCATTTCCGACGACGCTTTCCTTTCTCCTTCACAGACACACCAATCCTGTAACTCTCAGCA